CCCCCGCCCTTGTTGTTGTTTTTTTGATACAAGGTCTCACTATGCAGTTAGGTTGGCCTTGAACTCACACTGTAGCCCAGGCTTGCCTCAACCTCTTGAGTGCTCAATTACAGGCATGTGCTGCCATGCTCAGCCCAAGAGTTTGCTTTTGGTGACATAAAAATTTGGTCAGAAGTAATTCATTGAAATAATATAAATATTCAAGTTCAAAAGCCCCCCCCCCCCAACCCTTCAAAGATCTTTACATTGTTATAATACACATGGGTACAATTTTGAGATACTGACAACTATTAAAAGGTTTTTCCTCAGCAAAAAAAAAAGGTTTTGGGTCGGGGATTTAGCTTAGTGGTGCCGTGCCTGCCTGGAAAATGCAAGGTCCTGAGTTTGATCCCCCATACCACACACACACACAAAAAAAGGTTTTGAGACATTGTCAGAAGTTTCACATTTTGTACACAATAGCTAATTGTTAAAAATCAAATATATAAATAAAACATCTAAGTTTTTTTTCAAATAAAGTAGTAAAACATTTGCTAAATATATTTTTTCTTAAAATTTATAAATTATGAGTCTATTAAATATATTTCATATTGTTGGTATATATCTACACAGGATCAAAAGATATCTGATCCTTTTAATAAGCTATAAAATATTATAGAGAAACAATAAGTAGTAATTTTTATTTTCTTATTTATTTTTGGCTTTTTTTGAGACAGTCTCACTATGTTGTTCAGGCTTGCCTTGAACTATGTAGCCCAGGCTGGCCTCGAACTTGCTGTGATCCTACCTTAGCCTCCCAAGTACTGGGATTTCAGGAGTGAATCATTACACTTAGCTACTAAGTATTTAAAAAGAGACTTTTGTCAAACTATAGGTTAAAAAAGAACTTTAAAAAGTAAGTCTGAGAGAGGCTGGGGATTTAGCTCAGTGGTGCTGTGGTTGCCTCACAAGTGCAAGGTCCTGAGTTCCATTCTCAGTACCAAAAAAAAACCCCCACTGCGTGTGGTGGTGCATGCCTGTAATCAATCCCAGGCCAGGCTCTTTTTGCCTTGTTTTATGTTTATAATCTTTATAACTATTGTTTGTCAAAGGTGCTGACTACAAAACAGATGTTAGACTTGATAATAAACTCTAAATAAAGTTTATAAAGTTTATAAAGAATAAACTCTAAATAAACAGTCACTAGTTCTAAATCTTTTACTGCTCATATTTGGCAAAAAGGGTTTTTATGACACTGACTCTTGTCTGTCATACCCCTCCAATGTGGGACATGCTCTGACTGACCATCACTGGGAAAAGCTGCAAGCACACTGTGGGATAAGGCTGCAGACGGTTAAGTGACAATACCTTCAAAACACAAAAACAAAAAAATGCATTCAGGGACAAGGGGGCAAAGTCCCAAGCATCAAAGAATCACTTGTGTGTCAACCACACCAAAATAAGTAGAGCTGCAAAAATTATAAAAGGATTCTTATGCATGACTACCTAAAAGAAATAAAAAACTCCACCCTTTTAACAGGTATAACAGGTATTTTTTGACTTTGAGTTTTTTTTTTAAAGGAAGAGAGGTTTATTTTGGCTCACAATTTCAGTGGGTCCAGTGCATGGTTGGATGGCTCCAAGGCAGAAAACACACATAGTGCAAGGGAATGACAATAGGGCAACCCGGAAGCAGAGAGATTTCTTTTACATTTAACTTCACAACTTTCAGTGATACCTTGACAGGCGCAGGCATATGGTTTTTCCCTTGCTTATGTTCTAGCTACTTGTGATAAAATGTGCACAGCAAATCCAACATGAAACAGCCAGCCAGGTGATGTGGCACCTCAAAGCCCTCAAGATGGAGGGCTAAAATAAAGGAGGAATTGTAACCAGCATTGCAAAATAAAACTTTAAAATTTTCATGTAACAACATCCCCTCCTCTCTTCAGCCTAAAAGAGGTGATAGAATATGCAGATAGATGCAGACCTGGGAGCCCAGGACCCACAGGAAAAAGGAGGATGAGCTGAAAGCGAGAAAGCAAGTGTAAAGATCTGCATTACCTTGTGTCCCCTTCCCTCTGTTCCTTGCTATAAGACCCTTGCCCACCTGCCAATGGTGAGATGGTGATTTGAGGCAAATAGGCCCCTCCACCTCCTCAGAGCTAGCTTTGCATAAATCCTTTTTCCTGTTTACCCAAATATATGGCCTCATGTGATTTGGTCAGTGGTGCAGAGGAACCTAAAAATAGGAGGGTCATTGTGAATTAGGCCTGGGCTACATAGTGGGTTAAAGGCCAGCCTGAACATAGCAAGAACTTTCCTAAAAAAAAAAAAAAAAAAAAAAAAGGGAAAGTAGAGATAAAAAAGATAGATTCAGTAGCTGCTGTTTCCCCTACTCAGGTGGCCTGCAAAACAACTGTGAGACTTGCTAAGCCAGTTTTCAAAGAGCTTTCCCCATTATTCCAGATTATCTCCCAGGAAGTTGCAGTCTCTGGTAGGAGCAGTGGTATAGGAGAGGGTGAGCCTTAGATTTGAAGCCTGGTACTGAAAATCTCAGGATGCTCCTCATTATAGGATAGGCTGGGAAAACAAAATCCATTTTCATTCTTTAAAAATTTATTATTATTAAAACTTTAAACAAATATAGATATACAGGGGTATCAGCACTTCCTTCCTGGATACCAGGTAGCTCTAGCCTCAGCAGGTCTGAGAAAACTTTGTCAACTCTGAAGTGGATCCTGTGCAGGGGATGGAGGAAATTTGGACGGAGTGATCACAGGTAAAAGGTCTCCCCAGGAGCTGGCACGGGCACAACGGTACAGATCCCTGTGAAATAGAAACGCAGTGTGAATGGGGGCTCAGGTTCTTGGCACATTCCACTGATTCTGGTCACACCTCCTATACCTGCCGTGCCGGCGGGCTGTGATGACAGCATGCTCCCTGTTCCCGTCCGGACAGCACAGGTGACAGTGCACATGGCGGGGCCGTCTGAGGACAGGCTGAGTGATTCGTGGCCAGCGATTACCATCCTCTGGAAATCCTCGGGCAAGAATCACCATAGAAAACTTTTCCTCTTTTGGCTTCTTATTCTAAGGTAAGAATACAGAGACTGTTTAGAGGAAAAAGATTATGGGACAAGCTTTTTAGTTTCCACATTCTTGCCGTTCGCGACCCCCCCCCCCTTTTTGCAGTACTGATTGAAACCAGGGGTGCTCTGCCACTGGGGTACATCCCCCACCCATTTTTTAATTTTTTGGGATGGAGCTCACTAAGTTCCCCATTCTGGGCTCAAACTTGGAAAACTCCTGCCTCAGGCTCAGCTGAGTGCTGGGATTTCAGGTGTGTGCCCTCTGCCTGGCTCTGAAGTCTTCTCATGTTCTATAAATCATATACATTCAGGCTGTAAAATTTTCAGACTATTCTATAAGTTCTCCAACTCTCCCCATCTCTGACTCCTTTTCTTCCTGCTTTCCCAGGTTATTTTCTCCCTGTTATAATATTTACCAGGATACATACCCAGCTGAAGGGGATGGGATGGTAACCTTGGGAGAAGCTACAGGCCAGAGGCTGAGAGGCCATCAACTGAGGACAAGGGAGTTCATGGGGACACTGTGAACACACATAAAGACACATGACAAAAAAGCCATCAGTCATACGGAAGATAGAATCCAGACGGGCCAGGGAGAAGGGAGCCAGGAGCAGATGGCAGGGAGAGCCATGGGAGCCACTAGGTAAAGAGAGGGACATGGAGTGGTGGGGAGTGGCCAAGCTTCATCCACTTACTTTGCCTGGCCACATCCACACTTGGACCCATGTGCTGGGACAGGCTGAAGTCATACTCACCGGGGCAAAGACAAACCCAGGACGAGGGTCCAAAGGTGACTTCTCTTTTCCCTAAAGTCCAAGAAATGAAGCTGGGTCTGCACAGCCTATTTTCATAATTCAATCAATGCTTGGGAGACTAAGGACTCTTTTAACATTCAATTCTAATAATGATGAACTATGTCCTTTGAGTTAAGCTGGCTATATCTCTAATGCTCTAAACAAAGAACTT